TGATGCTAAGCTTGCGCATTAAAATCCACGCTTGAGTAGGGGCAGCGACAATAAACGATCTTGTTTGGTGGGAGAGGCATTAGTGAGTATTTAACGTTTCTCTCTCATATATTATATTGAAACCCAAAATTACGATTTTATACTCGGAACTCCGGAATGCTTTTCGCATACTACTTTTATACTCAAAAAACGATTTTTTGCAGCCTAAGCTACGGGAAAGAGTTTCCGATACTATCAGTTACGAATTCCAAGCCGCAGATACAAGAGCGCTTTTACGCGCTAGCTTTGAACATAAACATCGCCTACGCAGCCAGAGATGCACGGTGCGGCAGTCAGAACGTTTCGACGCATGATCTCCGTAAAGGGTTCGCCGAGCTACACATTCGCACCGCGCCACAGCGAGACAATTTCCTTAAACGGTTCGCCGACCTGAAGACACATTCGCACGACGCCACAACGAAAGCGGTTCGACATACACGATCTCCGCAAAGGATTGCCGACCAACCTCAAGACGCACGATCTCCGCACAGGCTTCGCCGAACTCAAGACAAGTGCGCACGGCCAGAACGCTTTGATACAGACGATCTCCGCAGAAGATTCGCCGAACTCAAGACACATTCGCACGGCGCCACAACGAGAGCGCTTCGACACGCACGATCTTTGTAGAGGGTTCGCCGAGCTCAAGACAAATTCGCACGGCGCCACAGAAGAGCACTTTAACACATACGATCTCCGCAAAGGATTCACTTTCGTCTTGCAATGCTTGGAAGTGCCTACCACGAAATTCATAGATCCTGTTGCCGAAAATCCTATTTACATCAGCGCAAAATATGCTATGTCCACCACGAAAAATGTATGCCAGTCTCACAAAATGCTATGCTGGCCATGGAATTCTACGGCAACGCATCGTCACAGCGAGAGCGCAGTTTTAAAGAAAGGTCCGTTTCGTGCAAAGCTGGCGCACGCGGGACAACTTTTTGCGATAACTGTCATGGCCTTAGAGCTCCGATTCAAGCTGACCCGAAAAAAAGATATCACCACATAGCGGCCCTACCATCAAAAAACGCACTTTGGTCTCAAAAAAAACACGTTTTGGCACGAGGTTTCCTCAAAAAACATATTCCGTATCGCAGCGCGAACTTTCGTGTAACACGCCCCTACCAACAAGAAATGCAATTTGCTTCAAAAAACGCATTTGGCACGAAGCTTCCAGCGCATACCTCCTAAATGTTATCCCTATCAACAAAAGCTAAAAAATGCGAACGACACCACAACGAACATATGCACCAACTAACACCTCCATTTCGTGCGAGACTATCGCATTAAAAACAATTTTTTATGCACAGGATCAGCAATTTAAGCCAACACCTCGACCTATATCAAACCTAAACTCTTACCATAAGAAGCCCTTAGTATAAATACTATTTGGGGAACTAGAAGATGATTAGCCCGAAAGCCTTTTTCCATAGATGCTCATCCAGTCGCAGTTTACATCGCTACGGCGAGCGTGTCTGCGCGTGGCGATACTCAGTGTATATGATCATATAAGAGTTTCATCTCATCATCCGATTTTCCTCTCGAATTACGCCGCGCGATTTCTCATGAAAGTGGTCTATACAAGCTATATTGTTCCAGGCTGTTACGCGCAAGTTGCTCTCTACAAACTGCTACACGCAAGTGCTCTATATAAATTTCTATGCCAGTTGCTCCGCGCAAGCGCTTTGCGCTGTGCAAATTAGTCTATGCAAGTTGCTCTGCGCCAATTACTCCATGCAAGCGGTTTGCGCATGTGCTCTGTAGAAGTTAGTCTATGCAAGTTGTTCTATGTAAATGCTTTGTACAATTGCTCTATGCAAGTTACTCTATGCAAGTGCTGCCGGAGCTATGGGAATGTCCTTCGTGTGCTATTTTTGTACTTAAAAGTTTCGATTTTCCAGCCGGAGCTGCGAGGGTGTGCTCCGCATACTATGTTTATACTTAAAAGTTGCGATTTTTCAGCCTAAACTGCGGGAGCACGCTCCGCATACTGCGTTTGTACTTTCAAGTTGCGAATTTTTAGCCGGAGCTGCAAAAGAACGCTCCACGTATTACGTTTGTACTTAAAAGTTACGATCGCGGACCAGGGGGGAATCGAACCCGCGACCACAGGATTGCGAAAGCAGGCAAAAGCCGTTTCGTAAGCAGAGAAAATGCACGGCGCCGCAACGAGAGCGTAGAGGACCGCACGCAAATCGCAAAAATCGTAAAAAATCCTCAATTTTTAAACCTCGACCGCGCGAATCTCCGCAAAGAGTCGCGCGCGGCTTACAAAAATCATATAAAAGTCCTCAGTTTTAAACCTCGATCACGCGAATCTCCGTACAGAGTCACGCGCGGCTTGCAGAAATCGTAAAAAGTCCGTAGTTTTTAAACCTCGACCACGCGAATCTCTGCAGAGAATCGCAATCCCGAGCGATAATCAAACTCCCACCCCGGCGTTTTAAAAACCTAAACACACTTATATAGCTACTTACGCCGAAGCTCTAGAGCCAAGTTATATATAGAGCCAAATTATATATAGAGCTAAATTATATATAGAGCCAAGTTATATAGAGTTAAGTTATATATATAGAGCTAATTGGCACAGAGTTAAGGTTAGGTAGAGCTTGCGTATAATATAACTTAGCTCTATGCAACTTAACTCTATGCAATTTGGCTCTGTGCAACTTAGCTCTATATAACTTAGTCTATGTAATTTGGCTCTATACCACTTAACTCGATGCCACTTGGCTCTATATAACTTAGCTCTATGTAACTTGGCTCTATATAAGTTGGCTCTATATAACTTGGCTCTATATAACTTAGCTCCAAGTAACTTGGCTCTATGTAACTTAGCTCTATATAACTTAGCTCTATGTAACTTGGCTCTATATAACTTAGCTCTATGTAATTTGGCTCTATATAACTTGACTCTATGTAACTTGGCTCTGTGCAACTTGGCTCTATGCAACTTGGCTCTGTATAACTTGTCCAAAGGCTCCGCACGGAAGAACCCTTCGCGATGCTTTCGGGAAAAAACATCTTCAGTTATTTGCTTTTCCCTTGCTTTGAAATGCAATTTTTGCAATCTATATTGAATATAGTTGTGGGAAAAAAACTGCGCAAAGGATTTCCTACTACCAATATAGAATAACAATTCATTTTACTCTTCTGTAATTTCGCATCTTTCAGCATAAATCACATTCTCATTAACAGTCAATTAGCAATAATGTTATGAATTCAAAGCCTGTTCAAGTAAGACACAACTATTCCTTAGGGTTGTATCCAAAGTAGTGCGAATTGGAATTCGCTATCAATATTGTTTAATGGGATTCCGAACATTTCAGCGACATCTCCGCATACGAGAACTTGCAAAGAATGCTGCTACCTGGCCCTGCAAGATGCCTGTGAAGTGGCTGCAACGCAAAGACTGGTGGCAGCTGCAAAGCATGTAAGAGACGCTTGCAGCGAATCGTCTTTCATCTCACTGTCATCCGCGTGCCATAACGCAGGTGTGCGCCTGAACAAGAACAAAGTTCCCATAGGCTTGGCGCCTCTTTGCGGCAAAGGATGTGGAAGCACCTGGACACGATCGCAGGCTGGCCAAGGTGCTGTGGAGCTGGAAGCTGATATGGAGACGGCAAGCAGTCACAGCTTTGCCTGAAAATAAATCCGGCTTCCACAGTCTGCAAGTCGCCTCGCATGGCAACGCATGTGGCGAATGCCATGAAGCCCGAGACCTGAAAGCTGAGCCAACAAGCTGCCTTCTGTCAGGCAGGTGGGCGCTCCGCTTGAGCTGGTGGACGTAGCTGGGGTGCTCTCGGAGCAAAACTTGCAGCACCTTCAAAGACATTACTTCCTGAGCACGGCCAACCGCAGCGTCATGAAGAGGTCTTCCCTGGTTGGACAGATGTTGCCGAGCATTCACGCCTTCGACCACAGCATGCAAACCGCACCATTGCGCTTGAACCAGCAAAGTGGAGCCCTGTGTCATAGTGCTCTTTAGGCACTGTAGCTCTGCTACGTCCAGCGCAGGAACGGAAAAGTATTGGACAAACAGATCTTCAAATAATCGTTGACGGGCCATGCTCCAACATTGGAGGCCAGTTGCGCATGCACACATCTGCAAGTTGTCAGGACACAAACATAACTTTCACCGTGACCTATGCCTGGGCTTTCCAAACAAAGCAACTTCGCTTATTCGTGGACACGGACCTTGACCTGCGAAGATCGACTCAAGCAAACTGGCCCGACATGCGGCAAACCTCTGCAACCAATCCAGCCCCCATCTAGGAGCCTCCAACTGCTCCCGGGCAGGTTGGAGCAGCCAGGAATAAGAATCTAAAGAAGAAGCTCAGCATGCTCACCACCCAAGCCCGCAGCCCGCTGCCGAACCTTCCCTACCGACCCCAACTTCCACAACAACATTCCATTTGCACCAGCCCAACTGCCACGCAATTTGCCTCAAGAGCTAGAGCTGGCGAGCAATGGGCCCAGAATCTGCACGGCTTTCTTGGCCTGAGAAGTGACATGCCGGCGATTAGCGATGGCACAGCTTGAAGAACGTGTTCAACCTCCGGCCAAAAAAGTTGCTTAGAACAAAGCCTGAGCCAATAAACGTTGGCGCCTTACTTTGCAAGCCGGGATTTCGTGGTAGCATAAAGCCCCTGCGTGGCAAAACTTCCCTCCCTTGAATGGGGGGGGGGGGGCGTTAATCGGACTTCATTACTTTTGGAGCGGAACACAGCATCAATAGAACTAGACGTTTTAATCTGATTGAATCTGGGATCAATACGATCAAAACCCATGTCGCCCTTTCGAGTGGAGCTGGCTTCTGGTGAAAGCATTGTCAGTTGAAATGCGAGGTCTCAGAGCCTTGGCCATTGCCCTGACTCTTCCGAGTGTTTGGGAATGAGCCTTATAAGGGGTCACTCCATTTCGCATTCCTTGCTGGACATATTGCCTTGCACCAGCATGCCTTGCCCCAAGCAGGTTGCCCTCCGGCACGCTGACAGCCTAATATTTTTTACCAAGGCTTTGCTGACAATCCTTCCCCTGACAATCTTTGCCCAAAGGGTTGCAAACGGAAGGCACATGAACGCATGATGAATTCCCAGGAGAAATTGCCTGACAAACCTCACCACGTGCCTCGGGATGGCCGCACTTGTCGGGATGGCATAGCCTGCCGGCAGCAAAACCAGATCACAGCGGGTTGTCCACGCTAAAAGTGAAGGACCACCATCAGGGGTTGATATATCCTGGCTTTCGTCCCACACTGGTTGAAACCTGGCTTGAACAAAACACCGCGGGGCAGCTTGTGTCGTCTATTTTTTGGGTTTCGGCCACTACAAGCAAAAGCAAACTGGTTCTACGAGCCTTACGAGCAATCCAAAACATGAGAAATAAGATCCCCCAAGTAAAGGGCCTATTGTGATCTCGCTTTTCACCCAATCAGTGACGGTAACAATGCGAATGTTTGGCTTCCAATGCGCCAGCAGGTGCAGTCGTGCCTCAGGAGCATCTTCACCTGGACTCAGAGCGAGCAAAAACGGGGGGCCTTTTGTTGCATGAGTTCCCTCCCCGCACGGGTGACATGGGTCTGGATCAAAATTAACTCACCAGGACCGCAATTTGTAGTTCATATTCCCAATTATCAGGGACCCCACAGCCACGTGAATCTCTGGTAGACTTGTTCTTCTTCGAGGGTATGGCCTCCGTCCACACATTGCTGAGGGGATGCAACGGTGCTTAGTTCAATCCAGCTCCAAATGCTATTGATACAGCAAGCTTCCAAGGGCACTCTTGCAAGTGCCCAACTTCCACACTTCATGAACAATTAATTGCGCTTTACTTTGACAATTTGTTTGGGGAATCTTGGGGCTTGGAGCTGCGTGGCCTGCCAAACCAATTGCTGCATGCTGCTTTCGATGAGTGCCAGGGCTTCTCTGCCTAGTTCTAGAACAAGTTGAAATTGCTTTCCTCTACCCTCCCTGGGCAGGACCGTAAAAACCTTTGAGAATGGCACACTTGAAGATTCAACAAGCAAGGATACTTGCTTCCTGAGTTGATGGTTGAAAAAAGCTGAAACTTCTTGTTTTCCACTAATAAATGCCAAGCCGAAAAAACGTAAAAACTCCAGGAACTCACTAAGTGAGTTGATACTTGCAGAACTCAAAGAAACTTTCGCTCGCCCGGTCTGGGGCGAACGACTGCAGCTCGCGCGCCCTCGCCGGCGATCGGCAGGCCCGCTTTCTCCATGGTCGGCCTTGTCCCGTTGCGCGTCGGGTTTCAGATGTCCGGTGAGCCAACCGAGCGGAAATCAAACGCAGAAGACGCGGGCGCCGGGGATGAGGTCGAGATCAGGCATTAGCCTCGAGGATATTCCTTTGAAAAGCAAAGTGGTGCGTTTTCTTTCCCCCCCCACGTCTGCCTCTCCAGAAGCAAACTCAAAACACAGCGAAGTGCTTCTCGATGCACGCAAAGGCTTGACCTTCTGGCCAACAAGCTAGAAATGCTTGGACAACACTTCCTCTGCCTCTCAGGCCCGGGCAGTAGTTGATTTGGCTGCGCCTATGCGTCGAGCAGGGATCTTCAGAAAGTCTTGCAGGCCGAATTGACTTATTTCACTCAGTTTGCCCAAAGTCTATTTTTAGGGTACTCCATTTATTTTTTAGCGTGGTTGCAAAGAAAAAATAAAAGGAACGCATCTGGTCGCCATTTTGAGACGCACCCTTGTCTTGGACAGGTTCGGAAACCTTCGGGCCATGCCTCAAAGCGGAGGGCCAGGCGCACAGACAAGGACTGTGCATAGCTGCACAGGCCTGCCACACACGCCGAGAGGCCTTGCAAAACCCTAACGCTCCAGCCTTCCAACGGAAAATGCAAAGAACAAATCCACAGCAAAAAACACATGGCAGGAACAGTGAAGGAGCAAATTTGCGCCTAAGCCCTCAGTGGGCAACTGTGCATATTCCGAATCATGTGCTCGTCCTGTCACAGCTGGGCAAACTGCTTACCTCTTTCTTTGGGAAGCACATGAGGTGTCTTGATCCGCATGAATAGAACGCTGGCGGCCAAGGTGCTCTTGAGTGGCCACAGCAAGTCGCTGGTAAGGGCCAATCACAGCCATCTGTTCGCGCAAACCCACCCAGTACATTCTCAACCAGTAGTAGCGCTTCTGAACGAAATTCGACTGTCGGCCTCTTGTCAAGTGTGTACTAAATACAGCCCATGAAAGGAACATACCAAGACATCGTCGGAATCTCTGAAGCCATATTTGCTCGCTTCCTTTCATAGGCTCACCTTTCAAAGTGCATAGCCAAACATCAAACAAAGTGGCAGTCGGGGGGAGCACAACGTTCACCCAGAAACCACATTCCCGCCTCCAATTGGGAGAAACACCATACAGTACATAGGGGGTGGGTTATCAGCGCTTGGGCGAGACTGATGCTTATATCTTCTTCAACAAGTCCATCGGGATACGTGAAATGGCTGGACTGGATCGAGCTGAATTCGAAGACGCCCACACTCGAAATCAAGAGAAGTCGGACTTAGCCTAGACCACAAGTACAAATCATTTGCCATTCATATTTCTTTGGGGTTGGAGTCTGACAAGTGGAAGGGCAGGTTGTGCGAGGCTAGACCTCGGTTCAAGCCGAAGCGAGCTTCTCATTCGGCAGAAACCGAAGGACCGACTGGACTATGGGCTGCGCCCTTTTCAGTGGGCCCCCTACATTGGTGTTCTTTCTAAAACCTACCAAAAAAGGGCTTCCATAAAAGGACAGCCCTCTGGTTGCGACCCGGGCGCCTTGAAGTGCGTCCTCCCAGGCTTTGTAGGCACACTCTGCGATTACCTGCTGCCTTGGACGGCGCGGTCGGGGGTCGAATCTGATGGAGTCTTGAGCTTTTGCTCAGTTGCCCGTTGGACCCAGAAATAAAAGTGACATTAGCTTTGGGGGGCCTGGCTGCAAATGGATCAAAAGTGGGAAGCTACAGGCTATGACTCCTCAAGGCAACAACTGTGACCAGTTCAAGGACATGGATGATTTTTGTCAAGCGTCTTGCCGTAAGGTTGCCAAATCATAGCAACGAAGACTGGGCAAATCTTCCGTTCACCGTGTCTCATGAACCTTTGCGTCCACAGCCACAGCCATGCGTTCAAAAGAAACCCGGTGGATCCAACAATAACAAATGGCAATGAGGCTGCTGGCTGGTAGGCAGCGTCCTCCAGAGCAAGCTCCTCCTGGAAACGGGGTCCAGTGCATTATCGGCTTGCTTGCTGTAACGACACTTCTGCTCACTGTTTCTAGCTCCGATGGAAAATCCGGCCTGCTTCCCCAAAAGCTAAAGTCCAAAGCTCAAATGGCCAACTTAAAATCTAGCCTGCGTGGCTAACTTCTATTGGTCTGCGTGTAAAGTTTCTTTCCAATGCAAGCCGTGGAATATGTGTTGGCTTATGCCTACAGCCTGTAGGAAAGCAGCATGTTGCCGCCACCCTGCCTTCCACCCGCACAGTTAATGAAATATCCGGGAAGGCATGCAGTGACATTGCTCATGGTGCTTGGTTCAAAGCGCGGTTTTCCCTGCCTCACTGTGGGCATAGTAGCAGCCTGCAGCAGGGGTGAAACATCTGGAGGACCCTGCCCAAGGTGCCCAAGGTGCCGCCTTGTAAGAAAAATGCCAAACAGATCCAAATTGACAACCTGCACCATCACCTGCAAGGAGACGCAAAGTCAGGCGTGTGGCAGCTGACGACAGCACTACCGCTACCAAAGGGGCATGGAGAAAAAGATCATGGGATAGCTAGCTATGTATAGATGCGTAGGATATTTTGTACGATACCATGTTGGAAACATCACAAAGTGGCCCGGCGGAACGAGTAGTGGTGCTGCCGCATACACAAGCGCAGAAAAAACGGATCCCTGCTCTTGAAGAACACCCAAACCATGGCCTCTCATTCGAATGTGCTGGAACGGGGTCGGGGCTGGGGCTCACGCTGTTGCCCCAGCGGCAGCCACCGGTGGCATAAAAGCGGCAAAGCCTCACCTCGCTGAGGGCTTTGGACATCCCTGCGTCTATGAAAAACTGAGGTCTCTTTGCGCCTTTTGGCTGTTAAAGGAAAGCACTGAGGGCATCTGCGCATTCGGGCGCGGAATTGTGATCCCATTTCTGGATGCAAGGCTAAATCAAGCACGACTGGGCCAGCCGTCCATGGCGTGTCCACCAGGCCATATGTTCATGTCCATGTCACGCACGTCAGTTTGCTCATTGGCCTTTCCCTGGCAGCCACTTAATGTGTAGCTTCACCGAACTAGCTGAATGGCTTGGCCAACAGCCCGGGATAACCGAATGGACCTCACCAACTTGGCCAAACGTGCCCTGTTTTGATCAGTGCGGGTTAGCTGCTGAGGGACTGCATGCTGCTGGCAAATTGGATCTTAAATGGAACCTGCCAGGCAAATCGCAACTGACCGGACGCAGGCGATCCTTCACAAAGGAAAGGCTTCAGCCGGCGACCTTCGACTCAGTCGCCATTGAAACAACTCCCATGGGTCCCTCTCCGTGGATGCTGAGGCGGCCGCTTTTCGCCGAGGGCCTTGGTTGTGGAGCACAACGCTAGCTGTTTGGTTTCGTCGCCCCCCTCTTTTTTTCTTTCCGCAGAGCCGGGACATCCTGGCAAATGCAGTCTCTTAAGGTGAGTGTAGTAAAATTGTTTCTCCCCTTTGGCAGCGCTTTTGGATGAAGGCCTCCCTGCGACCCAAAACTTCATTCAAACCTTGGCGGCACTTTTGAGATGATTTCGGGGTAGCGTTTGGCTAAGTGGGGCCACTGTTTAGGGATGTAATCATGAGCCGCCAGGTCTTAGGCCAAGGCCCTGGACACGTTTTGCATCCTGCGCGCGCAAGAGGGCTTACGTGGGACGCGGTCACTTGCCAGGATTTGAGCCCAGCCGAAGGCTAAGCAGCCCCCAAGGGTGTTTTAAGCAAGGCACTCGCATTCGCCTCTTGATTTGATGGGTGATTTTTCTGCGGGGAGTCAATCATGCAAGGCCACCTGGCAGGACCCCATGATAATTCTTCCATTGTTCCTTTCGTGGCAATCTGACGTTTGAAACCGGCGCGCTCTATGAGAGCAGCCACTTGTGTTTTGAGTGAGCCAGTTGTTTTGGCAATGCTTTGCAACAAGAGTCAGACGTAAGTCACAGCTAAATCTTGAGAATCCAGCGTATGACAACCAATGAATAACACTCTTGACATTCGAGGCTTCTCGATTAAGCTCCTGAAGGCTGTGCAAACCTCACTGCCTCGTGTGGAGAGTGACTATCGGGGTTTTAGGCGCTGAGATAGGATGCTCACTCTGAGCATTCTTATCCGCGGTGCCTCCACCACTTGCGCATGCATAAGGGGGTACCCTCCCCACTTCGCTTCAAAGGAACCGGGGTGAAAATCCTCCGGCCAATCTGTACGGTACCGCCCATGGCGCACAAACCCATCGCTGTAAAGCCGAGCGACCGCGCAAGTCAGGCGCCTCCTTTTGGGGCTTGGCGGTTCGAAGCTCCCAGCGCCTAAAGCAGCCCAACAAAAAGCTCTGCCCAGGAGAAAAAGGTGATCACCTTTTGGGGCTATGACCAAAAATGAACCAAAATGGGAAAACCACTGAGAAAGTCAGGGGCAGTGGCTGGGATTGTCCGGTCTGAATACTTGGGTTTCGATGGTATGGTTCAGCTGTGATGAAGCTTTGCTTTCAACATGTTCTCGACAGTGACCTTTTCACTGCCAAAACGAAGCCTAGGAAGCTAACCCATCGTGCACATGACGCTGAAAAAAAGAAACTGTGTCAGGCGAAAGGTGCAAACCATGCTGCTCCAAGCGCATGACTAGCTGTTGGGGTTCACGTATCGGAAGGGTACCACACAAGAAACAAAACAAGCCGCAAATTACGGATCAGCATCATGACCCGTACTTGTGGGGCATATTGTTAGTGCAGTGTAGCTACTGCGGGTTTCCATCCTGACATTTTTTTGATCTACCAACACCCTGCGTGACCGGTGACGGTACTGCATAAGGGTCAACTAAACCGAACAAAACTTCCCATGCAACCAGAAACGAGGCTGCCTGGAAAACTCTACGTTAACGCATCTTTCTCCCTTGCCAATGAGGTGTTCCAATTCAAGGAACCCAATTCCTCCACTTGGTCTCACATTCACCGAGCATCAGTTCACAATAACAGCTTTGTGTTGACTGAGGTCCCTATTTAACTGGGCGGACAATGGAGTTTACACAAGGCATCGCCAGGTCATTGCCCAATGGTCAAGATGCCAGGCTTGACAGTTGGAAGGCCCAGGGCACACAAATTACAACCTTTGGAAGTTCAAAGCCTTGTGGAGCAGTTGGCCATCTCCTCATTGCCATGCAAACATGCAAGTGTTCGATTGACAACAACTTCCTTACAATTCAGCACCAACTAGCCTGTCAAGCATCGCCAGGAGCCTTCGGCAAAAAAACAATTGCTCTCTGCCTGTCGCGCACCTTCACTAGGCCAACTTTCGATGGACAAGGCTCCGGCTTCATGCGGCCATTGTAGATGTACCTGAAGTGCAACTCGAGCAAAGGCCCAAGAGTTGCCGATCGAATCCTCCCGAGTTTCAGCAGGTGCCGGATCGGACAAGGGATGACGTGTTTGCTGCTGTTGTGGCTCCAATTCGGGGGGGGGAAAAACACCGCCTGCTTCAACCAACAAGTGCAAGTCCAAAGATCCAACCAAGAAGCCATGAAGGAAAAGGGATGACCACAGTATGACATTTCACTGGCGGAGTTGCACCATGCAATCGTCACAACCCTTGCTTCATTGATCGGTGAGTCCCATTTTGCTGTAAAATCAAGCCCTGACTTCGATTGTGCCATCTTTGGGTTCATCCTCAAGGAGTCCCAGTTCTTGTTGCATCGACTGCCCCATCCAAAACTACCACAGCTTTTGCCGGCTGAAAGCCATATTCTGAGATTCTGGCCCATGTCTTAAAAACCGCAACATGTCTTAAAAACCGCAACATGACAAATGAGTGTCCTTTACCGAGGATGATCTTTTGGGCATTTGAAGCCCACACAGGCTCAAATATCGGAGTGGGGCGGGGTTCGAACATGGTCTTTCGGGGATCAAACCGCCTGCCTTGTGGCGCTCTGTTTCGGCGCCGGAGAAGGCGTTGCAAGCGTCTGCGGCGGCGGCTCCTGGCTGCACAAACCCACCAGTTGGAATGGACAACGCCCCATGAACACTTGAAACTGCCGCTAATTTTCAACCTGGCGCAGGATTTCGTAGATCCAGATTGCCGTTTTATCCGCTTCAACTTGGAACAAGGTTGACTACGGCCCCCCGAACTTGGAGTCTCACGATGCGAGCCGTCCATTGGAGCACTTCGGAGTGCCAGGCGTGCAGAAAAGGCCAACCCTGGTGTAAAAGGGGTCATGGCAGCACGCATGCTTCTTCCGATTGGCATAGCCCGAAAAGAAACCATCTGAACCGAGTCAAGCACAAAGTCCCGTCCCAACTTTGCAAGCATCGAGCAAAGTGGCAAACCACGTGAAACAGCCTGGCCCTCCAGCCTGTCTCGCCTATTCAGATTGGTCGTGAAACCGCAACGACTGGCCCCTTCCCAAAAACAGATAGATATCAACTAATGACATGGGTATGTTGATTTTCAAGGGTACCCTCGTGTTATTTCAAAGAAAAACAAACAGTGGTGTCAAAATAGGGGGACTTTCAACAAAGAGGCGACTTTGCTTTTTGGTTTCCCTACAGCGGAAGAGGGTTCCCTCAAAATACACACACCCATAGACCCCGTATCGCGGCTGTGCCGGCCGCCACCACGAGCTGCGTGCAGCTAACGCCGTGGTCACTCAGCATGCCGCCTCGTTTCACAAGGCGTCCGAGCCGCCCCAACGACGATCCGAGAAGCGAACGGGAAACCAAGTCCTTTTGCCCCAGATCCACTTGCCATTCATTCCATTCTTTTCATGGAAAACCAATAATATTGGATCTGAACGATGGGGTGAAAAGGAATCAAAGAGCTTTAGAAATCCTGCAGCTGGCCTTTGACATGCGTGCAATCGCTTTTCCTCGCGGCCTGGTACAGGGTGGATCCCGCGATAGCTTGAGTTGCGCCACCGGATCAGTGACCGCCCTGACCACCGAAAGGCGGTCTCCCCCATGGTGATTCTGGTGAATCAAGGCTCCCGGCTGCCTTTCGATTCCTTTGGCCTAAGTTGTGAGGACTCTGTGCCGGCCCTGCCCTTGAGGGGACTCAACTTTTAATGTCTGGCAAAATGCGTTGTTCAATGATCCAGCTCACGTTCACCAACCAGAACAGCAGACCTTCAAAGAGTGCAAGCCAGCAAGAAAGAAAACGGCTTCGTGTACCTACCCAAATCGCCTTGTTTACTTGAGGGTTCCCTCTGTTTGCTTAAGCTCCCTCAAATCCAGCAATCGATTTCCTTCAAGCTCAGGGGAAACAAAACACCATTCTGAAACTGGTGTGATTCCTGAGACCTGGGCTCCGCAACCTTCTGCAGGTCTGCTTCGAAGTCGAAGGCATCGTCATCATCACCTGGGCAACCAGACAGTTCAAGTCCAAAGATCCGCATAGCCGTAAAGGGAAGAAGGGTACTGATCCATACCAACTTTGCTGTGGCCAAAACAGAGAGAGTGTCCAGTAAGTGATCACCTTTTGGGGCCATGACAAAACATAGATCAAAAAGGGGGATGCTAAAGGGTCAAAGCTCGGCTTGGGACACGTGAGGCGTAAAATCACCCCTTGGTTGACTTACCAGGGGAGCGTCCCATATCAGAGTCGATTCTTCACTTTCTGGGGACTCATCCTGATGCGCAGTTCACATTCGACAAGCAAATGAGCTTCGCGACTTGGTTGGTTGTGCGGGAGGAGCGGCAAAACACGTCCACTGCTTGCTTGTTGTTTGGTTCTGCGTGATCCTGGTGTCACAACTAGCCCTGCATCGCCAAAGAGAATCAATCCTCCAAGACTGCCAAAATGAGCGCTAGAACTCAGCAAGGACAAACACTTTGCAAGTTGGTCCCCTTCGGAGCTTGCAGGGCCACGTTGACTGTGTGTCGCACGCGGTTCGGCGGGGGCGTGCATTTTCCACATGTGGTGCATGGAGAGGGTGCAAGCAGGTATGAGTGTAAGCAGCAAACAGAGAGCTACGCTTCCGAAAAATGTATGCAACTTGGTACGTTCTGGACTCGAACTGTATCCTGCCTCGGTTCCATCATTCTGCACTCTGCAGCAAGCAGCACTTCCTTCTTTCGCGTAGGGCGCATTTCCATGATACCAGTTCCATCTTCGCAGCCGGTCGGGCTCACCCTGCGCTCCAGATTGGCCAGGCCCAAAACCCATTATTTTGAGAGATCAGTTTTAGGGGGCCATTTTCCTCCCCAACGTCATTCCCTTCTCGATCCCGCCTTTGTAGCCAACTATTTGGCGATGCCCTTCGGACAATCATTCCGGCAAGCCCTTGCACGTACCAGGGTTTTTCTTCCAAATTCATTTGCTGCTGGTTTTAGTTTCTCATGAGTTGTTCTTTCTTGTGGGCTAAAGGCCATAATGCGGCCACAGCCACTGACCGGCTCTAGGCGCCAAACCTGTCGGTGACGCCTGGCGCTCAGGAGGCTGGACGACCATCACAAGGGTCTGGCCAAAACAAGCCTCATCGCCTCCTACCCTCTACTTTTTGCAGATCCCAAAGCAGGCAACGAGGTGCCAAAGCTTCCATCAGATGTTTCGGGCCTTCGGCTTCCCTGTGGGGCCCTAGCGCTTTCACCCTCCCCGCGGTTGCCCAGAAGACAGCAATCCTTCAGGCGCCCTCCTTTAAGGGAAGCCAAAGGGCCAAACGAAAACCTGGCCTCTCACCGGCCATGTCCTCCAAGTCCGCCCGCCTGCAAACGCGGTCTCTTGGACGGAGCCTCAACCTCCTCCTCCACCGCCTGCACGGCTCACGCGTGCCCAAGCCAGCTCCACTACTCCGGCTACTGTCGGGTTCCTCTGCCTTCGAACAACACATCCAAGCTGGTCTCTCACTCGGGCATACGCACACACACACACAAATAGTATACATATATATATATATATATATATGCACGTATATGCACATATATACACATAGTTGCAAATAAAGTTCAGAAGCTTTTGGCGGTCAAACACGCCTAACAACAGAAAGCCCCTGTCATGAGAAGCCTTTGTGCCTGGGGACAGCCAATCAACTAGGTCTTTCTGGATAAGATCCGCAACAATTGTGTTGCTATCGTGCTGGAGGACCTTGGAAATCCCGACGCGAACACTTCACTGCAATGTCAGTACTAGGTACTAAGATTGAGATGCCAAAGTGGGATGCCTTCTACATACTTCAGTCACAGTCCAAGCCCCACTTCAACGGAACTGTCAAATGGAATCATCTTTACAAAGCCAAAAACGCAGGTATCACCTCCAATTCATCCACGCCCGTCCAAAAGGATCCGCTCGCATGCGGATGCCTCGTCATCGTCTGGCTGCAGCCAATCCATGTCCGCGGTGCCTCAAGTGTACCCTCGAAAGCTGCCGAAGTGGTCAAAAGCGAAGCCAGTAAGGTGTTGGCGCTGTGCAATCACTGCCGTGGTGGAAGCACCGGGGAGATACTTTCCAGGCGGGCTTTGCCAAATGTCAAGTTGTGCTGACTCCATTCCTCTATGGAAGAAGAATCGGATGAGTCTGGCCATGTTTGCACCTCCCTTGTGATCAGCGCAACTCTCACGTGTCACGCGGGCGACCTCTTTAGACAGAGTCAGGGGTCTTTTCGTCGGCAAGCCGTTGGGTGTTTCCCTTTTGTTGGTTGTTTAGAGGGAGACCAAAACCGAAGCCATTTTGGAACCCCCCAAATTGACAGACACCCGGAGTGGTTTTTGCTCTTGCAGTTCAGGCCATTGCACCTAAAACGGTCCAACGAAGGAAAGCGAAACAGGGCGTTATATTCGTGCTTCCGCCTGGTGGCCAATCGCATGAAGTGCTTTTCAAGAAAAAGGTTCATTTTAGGAACCTCTTTTGTAGGGAGGCCAAAATAACGCGCCATTTTGCGGGTCCACCTAAACAAGATGCCCCCAAATGCCACAGAGACAGTGTGGTATGGCCATTTGGGGTATGTAAGTTGGCCCTTGGATGCAACACACCATGCATATCATGTTGGTAAGCCGCCCGCCGGGCGCCGGGACGTTCTCATCCTCGAGCTCCCGGAAATCTTCGGCCCCGGCGCCTCAAAGCAGATTTAGCAGCACCCCCCCCCCCCCAAGCACTGATTTTTAGAAAGTACTTGCGGTTTGGACATGAGAAAAAAACAGTTTTTGGGGGGTGCTGGTTCCGGACCAAGAGGTTGCTCCGGAGCCTTTGCATGGCAAAGGGACAAATCAGCCCCCATACCGGAGCGAGAGCGCATGGCTCTTCCCCTTTTCCTGCTGCCCAAATGCCAAGGCAGTGCATGATTGTGGAGAAAACCGCGCTTTCTGCGCTGCCAAGTGGCCCTATGACCTTGTCTGTTGTTACTTCGTAGTATCCCAAGCAATGGCAACCTGAAACCAATCCTTCACACACACACACAAACACCAACATGCGCAGAGGAACACCTGTGGGGTCAGCTGCGCATAAGGCCCCGGCGCAGCAGCCTAGGCTTGGACTTTCGAGCTGGCCCAAGAGAGACCAAACTTTGCTTGCGGTAGGGAATGACCTTTGCTTCCGGGTGTTGGGAATGAACCGGCAGATCCCCCAACAAACCAGGGATGATGTCTGGGGGTCATTCCTTCATTCCTTCACTTATCGTTCCCTGCTGAGAACCAGCAAGTGCATTGGTTGCCGCTACAACGGTCTTCCCAAAATGTATCAAGCCCAGGAAGACGCCGCTCGGCATTCTTCGCGCGGGGTGGCTCGTTTCGCTCAGCCGCTGGCTCCAGCAGTGCTTCCACTCCCGATGGCTGATTCGTAGGGCCCTCCGCATGGGCCAGTGCCCCAAGGATCTGGAAAGAAGAGCCTAAGTTTCTAGAGCTTGGACTACACATCGTGAAACAATAGAAATCATGTCAAGAACTTGGCTTTGGCCACGTTCATTTTGGTCCATTGGTTCCAGCCACCAACGTAAACAGTGCCCAGCTTTCGGCCAATATCTTCGGGGATTCAATTGGGGTGATGTTTTGGGGGCAGGATTTTGGTCACCCAGAACGCCCGCAGCCAACCGTGCTGGATGACAACGGCACTAGAAGCAACAAATGGATGTGGGTCATAACAAAGGTACCCAAACTGGAACACTGGCGAATGGACACAAGAACTAAAATGTGCGGTTCCCTGGTGTTTTAGTTTTTGGCACATACCCAAATCAATCTTTTCAAGTTTATAGGGGGTCTAAAGCATGTTGTCAATGATCGGGCCCATGCCATCGAACGAGCAATGGCCGATCCGGAAACGCCACTTGCTCCCTGTCGACCGCTTCATCCCAGAAATGCCAAACTTTGCAAGCTGTGTGCTATCTTGGCAAGCCATTTTCTTCTACTTCGCACAATCCACGATTTCCACAAAAGTTAAAGTCCAAAGATCGAACCAACTAGCCATACAGACTAGAAGATGGCAAGCCATCGATCACCCGGCCTTGCGCCAAGGAGGCGTCCTCAGAAAATGACATGTCGATGCTTCATGATGGAAGGTCCTATTGGGTCACCTCAACCCGACACAAGAACTGGCCCCTGTCAGCGGCCACCAGCAAACAGCTGGTTGTTGGTAGGTGGGACAAGGGCACTCGACTTTGATAACCAAAACCTTGAATAAACTCATGAACCCGGCTCCATGAGCCACGAAGAATGACTTTCAACGACCCAAGAAGGGGTGTTGACTGGTCTTCTGCTACATCCAGCACATGGTCCGTTGATCACTCATGTTTCATGCACACTGATCCACTCAGCAGAGCGCTGTGCTGTTGGGTGCTTGGGCAGAACCAGTCAAATGACAATGCCATTGTGTGAATGCCCTATCTTGAAGCTCCACGTTCGCTGGGGTGCCCCTGCGGAGGGGATGGCTTCCCTTCCTCCTTCAGGTCGCCTGCGTGCGACAATGGACTGAGACTGAGGACGCGCATGTCTCACCGTCAGCTCCATGCCATTCCGTCCATTCATCCATCCATCCCTCCCTTTTAACACCAACTCTCGAGGATACTGCCGCACAGAGGGCGGCACAACGCAAAACGGCGGGAAATGACGTTACAGAGTGTGTCCTGCGAAGCCTGACTTCAACACAAGCCATGTGGACGGGCAGGCACCGTACAAATCCAGGCCCGGATCGCCCATGGCGACCAATCTTTGTGCTGACGCTTTGCACTGGGTAGCTTTTCATCATGGGCTGAGGGGAGAACTTGAACTGAGCAGCCTTTGCACTGCTTGGCACAAGAAATCCTCAAGACATGTCATGAAGAAATCCTGAATTGTGGTGCGCGCTGCCTGAAGACTGAGCCGGGGCCGTCTGGGTGCCATGACTTGCTGGTTCTCAAGCAAAGTGACAAAACGAGGTGTTTATGAAATCAAAGGGCCTTGGAACCCTTGCAAAGCGTTGAATCCATTCCAGAAAAAAGGCAAGGCGCTGGTAGCTCTAGTGCCCTGCAATATGGCCTGCAATGCAAACCTGAACTTGATGGTACACAGGGGGCCGTTGAGACAATCGGAGGAATTTACTATTGGTCGACATTCGTCCAGACAGCGTTCCATGCCAATCAAAACTTGAATCAGTGGGACATCTGGCATTTCCTGGGCGAAATGCACGGAGCCACCGAGCACTTTCTCCATGCAGAAGGGCACGGCATGGTCTCGTGCGCATGCGCTCCAGAAGCCGACGGATTCATCGGCGGTGAAACGGCTAATGTTGACACCGGATTATTAATATGAGGGTGTCCCCCTCCAAAAGTGATGAACCCCCACTAAAACCACAATAAATTAGGGGGTTTGTTAATCTGGGTTGACATTGGCGGCATTGGTGGCAACACGTGGGAAGCAGGCTGGAATCAGAAAAGATGTGGATATTTATCCAAGAGCCAACCACGATTGTATGACTCAGCTACCTTCACCGGCAACTTCTGCTATGGAGGTGATCTCGCCGTCATCTGCTGCCTGGGATGTCGCGACTGAGTGCAAAAAGCTGAAAAAAGCAAACATTCATGAGTTCGTTTGGGGGGGGGCAAAGGGGGTTACGGCACCCTCAAAACAGCACTTGGAAATTAAAGGAAGCCAAAGGAAGGCAAAAGAAGCTAAAGGAACGTAAAGGAACGTAAAGGAACGCAAAGGAAGGAAAGAAGTTAAAGGAAGGTAAAGGAAGCCAAAGGAAGCTAAAGGAAGCAAAAGGAGGTGCAGTAACCCTCCTTGCCCCCACCCCAAACGAATACATGAAACATGGCACCTATCCTCTCTCCCACTAACATGGCACCTGACAAGGGGTCCTCCAAGAGGAAACTGATGTTCCAGGTATCCTCCCTCAGGTGCCATGCTAGTGGGAGTAAGGGTAGTAGTCAGGGACAAGAAGCACAACACACACGCAACAAAGTGTCAGAATGCGGTACTTGAAGCCTTGGCCGTTCTCATGTTGCAACTTCTCCGCAAGCACCTGCTCTGGGCTTGGGCTACTTGCGCTTGCTCATTCGCGATGGCTTTGCGGCAAGGCAACATCCCTTCAGTCTGTGCCCCGCGAGATCTCCCGATGCGCGGGAAAAATTGAAAAAAGGGGGACTCTAGCTTGAGCGGAAGGGTTCAAAGAGGACTGGCCGAAAGCCAGCCCCAAAGCAAGGGGAGGTCTCTAAGCGAGTGCCCCATTCCTCGAGGTTGACTTCCATTTGAAACCATCCACCTTTTTTGAGACTCAGACCCATGGTGTGTGTCAACAGGGGGACGCCCCAAAACTGAAATGAGTCCTTTCACTTTCTCGTTGAAACCAGCCCTAAAACGAGCAAACACCACCATACCCATGTGTAAACCACATAAACCACGTCGAGTCTCCTTCGCCTCAGCCTCTGCTCTGGCTCTCTCTGCCTCTGCAGCCTCGCGCCAAAATCCAGGCGGACAACATCCGCACAATGCAGCAGGTTGGGATAAAACGCCATGGGAAAAACGCAGCAGGCTTTGCCTGGTGTTCGTTTTGTGGGTCTCCGAGGTATGCCGCAACTTGTGATTGAATCCCCAAGGCATCCTTATAATTTTGGAGTGTCTTCACGGGCGACGGTGAGCCTTGGCTGACCTTACAATTTGCCCAAACATACTGATGTTATGAGCTGCGAGTGAAATGGAGCGTTTGGTGGACATGAAGCAACGCCTAGAGGGGTCTTCGTCCACCCGTTTTTGCGCGCTCCCATTCACATGGTGTCCTGTTCAAGGGTCCTCTTTCCTCAGGTTCACGCAAGAGACAACCCGTATTTGACCTTAGGTGCTGTTGCTTGGAATTCTTGTTGTAACTGTGGCTGCTTGTTCGCCCACCAAATCCACGTCAACATTGCCAGGATACAACGCATGCTGCGCATTGAACATTGTGACTGAAGCGTGGGATCAAAGCCGGCCTTGCTTCAAGGCAGCGCGCCAAAGATCACTGTACCTTCCTCTGGGAGGTTGCTGCCCGCCCGTGGCCCTCCCTTGCCTCTGCGGCACGGATCTGTTGCAGCACCCGCTCTTTGATCTTCTCTCGGAACTTGCCGGCGTCTCCTGTGGCCTTTGGTCATGTGCCGGCAGCTTCCCGCGTCAAAGCATGACAAAAACCCTTGAACAAGCCGGTGGAAGGGGAGTGGTGGCCTGGACCCTCAAACTGCGTGGCTTCAAAAGAAGCTTTAGGCTTAAGAGCCGTGAAGCTCGTTTAAACAAAGCAAACGTACGTGTGATTCCGCACCCGGCTCTCTGCAGACAAGGCGCTGATTTCTTCAGGCGATCTGACAACCACACCTGTGCACGCATTCAAAGAAGTTTACGGTTCTTCGCTAGGTCGATGTTGAACGTCGGGCGCTGATTGCTTGTTTCGCTCAAATAAATGCATTTAAAGGCAAACTCCAAGTTAAATGAAGGTGACGCATCCCGGATGGCCCGGAACTGACAAACTGAGCATTGAAAATTGCACCACCCGAGTTGCCAACATGTTCTGGGCACCTCCGGTCTGGCGAGTCACAAGTGGGGCGATCTCTCTGGTTGCAGCGGAAGCCATAGCTCAGGTGTCGTTTCTGCAAATGTTCGAATGGCTGAACAAACACCCAAGCCCGAATCTCAGTTGCCCAGTTTGGACCCAAAGAGCCAGGTGATCAGCTTTTGGGGCCAAAGATTTCGACGCACCATCGGAACACCAAAAGGTCATTTCAGGCACCCCCGCCCAAATCCACGAAAAATCCCCCCGGCACCAGCGGATCGAAGCGAGATTCATCAGCAACTTCTGGAATGGGAGGAGGCGCCTCATTCGGCCGGACCGGGTCCCAAACTGGCGACTTCAACGGTTTTTCCTTTTGGTTTCCCTTTCAAACCCAACCAACAGAAAGCAAACATGACTGAACCATGAGCTCCCAATTGCTCAGCGTGATTCGGCTCCCAAACCTGATTCCTTAGCAGCACCCAGGTCCCACCCACTTCTGTTTAGACAGTACCTGGGACTTTGGACATGGGGAAAAATACAGTTGTTTCAAGCGCGTTCGCCGGAAGCCATTCGCTTCCAAACTTGCTCCAAATGGGTCTGTCTACTTGGTGGGTACGCACCCTTTGCCCATGTTGGGGGTCCAGCCCGTGAAAAAAAAGAGAAGGTGCACCAAAGGCAGATCGAGGTGTCTGCTATTTTTCATGGGTGCCCCTGACACATCCCCACTGTTGAACTAGACGCTTCTCATTTGTGCCACCAATTTCAACCGGTGCCTTCCTGCCGGTGCCGTTTCTTGGAAACAAGCTGTGCGCATCAAAATGCGACCACTCTGAAAGCTCCCAATGGGTCCCAAAGGCCGTCATTTTGGTCACCTCAACAACATATACGTGTGTTTCTTTTCTGGGAATCCGCTTTTGGTTGGCGCTCAAAACCAATCCCCAAAAGTCATCATTTTTCGCGTCCCTAAATTGAGATTAAGATATAACTTCTGAGGGCCCCTAATTCGTCTTGGCTGCTGCAACGGCTCTTCTGCAAAAAGCTCTCAACCTTTTGTGGGTCCAATTCGGAAAATCCACTTTGTCCCAAAAAGTCAAAGTGCCTCGGGCCCCTTTCTCATGAGAGCACGCCCATGTCACCGGCCCACCGGCTCGGAGAGCCCGGCTGACTCTGAGGCGTTGCTGAAGCGCCGGAGCGACGCACTTTGGCTCCCGGTCCCAAGATCTGAGCGGTCACCCCGGGATTCAGATTGCCTTCCATTTTGCTTACTGGAAAAAATATAACCTATGTCCATAGATTCCGTAATCAACATGGAGCCCGACAGGGTCCTGGAAGACCATTCTCCTTCTAAAGGGAGCCCCTGTCAGGTTCCATCTAATGCGAGGGTAGATTCCCTTTAAAACCAACTGGGAAATATTGAATATTCTTAGGCAAATGGAAGTTAGACTCATTTGGTGGCGTTGGATTGCTTACCCCTGGTTCAAGTGACCCAAAGGTGACAACCACAGCAACCGTCTGGGACTGACCTTTGCTGTCCTCACCAGGTTTGTAACGCAAGAGGGCCATCCCTAGAGGTTCAGAGGTGACAGCCGCAGCCCCGAATTTCCCTTGAAGGTCCACTCAAATTTCAGCCTCTGCAATACCAAGTGGGACATGAGACATCTAATCCCGAGGCCATTGGAGCAAACGTCTTGTTTTTGATTGGGCATGCAATCAGATTCTCACGGATCAGTGGTTTGGTGGTTTGGTGGTTAAGGAGGGGTTTTCCGTGTACCCTCTTCAACGAAGCAGGGGTTCAACCAGCACCATCTAAGGCTTGTTTTTGAACTAGCATGGGGATAGTCACACGCTCTTGTACCTGAAAGTTATGGGTCAGGGCACAACAAGTTACTTGACCCCTGCTACTACAGCCAGTTGGGTCATTGTGCGTGACCTACATCATCTCCACACTGACCATTGCCGCCACCAAGGCTCATGAGCTCAGAAACAGAATGGTCACAGCGGACCGTTTGCAACCATCGATAGGCAGTGCTCTTGGCATGATTGATCTGTGCGACTGGTGCCTTTGACTCTGAAACGAAGCCCATTTTCGGGAGCAACCAGGGCTTTGAAGAATCTTCTCAAGCTCACAAGCGCTTGCAGGCTGAAAAGTGAGGTAGAGACAAGCCATATGCTCAAAAATCGGCCACTGAAGGGCTTAGCCTCCATCAAAAACTGCACACGGGGGAGGTATTGCGACGGACACCCCAGCAACCGACGGGAAAGTTTTGCTGCCGCCTTGCCTGTGCCACTTTGGCCCGCTGACAAAGATGGCTTCCTGACGGCGTGAGCGTCCCGTCCCACGGTCTCACAGGTTGCAAGCCATTCGCACATCACAGGAAGCATGGGCCCAAACTTTCATTGAAACTCGAAGCCCGAAACCACCCAACCTCCTAATGGGGGACAAAGCACGGTGAGTTTGCCATCTGCAAATGCTCAACCGCATTCTGAAGCCGACCTCGAACCGGGTGAATGGCCAGCAGTTCCCTGCACCCGCTGCCTGCTTAAGTCTCGCTGCTTCTTCTCTCCGACATCCTGAAGAGGAGCCGAGCGCCATGTTGCCACAAATCCTTCAGTTGGGCCCTCAGCCTAAAGTATGATCCTGTCACAGCATTCTTACCCACTTTTAGTGATCAGGGAGATATTCCTACTCAAATCCACGGGGACAGGGACATTTTGCGCAAAATCTGGCCATGTTTTAGAGATCCCCAGGTACAGCTTGTTTTACCCCCTAGAAACCCGGCATGCCTCCGGCGTCTCCGACTGCTTGCGCTGAATCTTGCGCTCTGCCTCCGTCTCCTCGGGGCTGTGCCCGGCGGCGCTGGATGCCACGTGGGGCCAAAGGGGCTGGAAATGAAAGGCTCAGCTTTTCGAGCCTTGACCAATTCGCCCCAAACAGCTGCAAACAGAACCTTAGCTCCGACAAAAACACAAGCAAACACAAGATCAACAGGTCGATTCGCTTTGGACAAGATACCATGTGGGCCACGTAAGCCCCCCACATGTCCAACTCCAAGTCGAATTCATGTCTGGTGCTTGAACTCGTAAATGGCCACCCATTTTTTGCCCAAGAGCTCCCTCAAGGCCAGTCAGGACGTGCCGAATCTGATAGAAACTCCGGCGCTCAATCTTCCTTCAACCGGGCCCACTGTGGTAAGACATCCTCAAGATGACCCTCATGCTTTAAACTTGCTGATTCTCAGTACCCAGGTCCCCTTAAAGGGGGTCAACCCATTCCCTGCCTATCGACCAGCAAGCCATGGGAATCCGAAAGCAATCTTGAGAAGCCCATTTGGCATCCTCCAAATAACCCGCATGGTTTAAAGTGAACCCAGGAAAAATGGACATTTTGAGAAACCACGGGATCGCCCGTCCTTGCGGAGCAAGCGTTGCAGCTCCCCGGAGCTATGCACTTGGTGCCTGCAGCCCCCGATGGACATGGGGTAGGGGGCGTCGGGCTTCAAAAAGAAGGCCTGCTCACAGAATGCTGAGAGACGGTTTGGCCACGGGAGTAACTCTGGGCGGCTTCCACCTTGCCATCGGAAGCTTTTGTCCAAACATATGAGCATCATTTTTCGGACCACATGTTTGGCTTTTTTTTTAAAGGACACCAAAGAGACGTGTAGCGCTTTGGCACGGGGCGCTATTGTAGCCGTCCGCACCTCGTGCGTTCTTCGGACATTTTTCGGGCCTTTGCCAAAGGTCTCCATCTCCAAATGGCTCTCACCAATACATGTCTTGCATTTGCTTAAGTCCACTCATACTTCCAGCGATAGATTCCCTTTAGAACCAAGAGGGAAAAATAACCTGTTCTTAAGCAAATGGAAGGCGTTCATACACAAACACAGCCGAGAGGCTCCGCTCCGTGCCAGAATGATTATTGAACCAGCTTCATCGCAATCGCAAGTATGTTCAAGGTCATCGCCAGCCAAAAAAAGACAGTACCCCGATGCTCCAAATTCGGTATGCCTCACCCCCGTGGCTTTTCACCTAGGCCAAGGGCAGTAGCTCCTCCACAGCAGGGCCAAGAGATGGAAGCCTCGGACAAAGGGATCCAGACTTTGATGGAAACCAATCTGGGATGCTTTTGAGGAAGGGCCTTTCCTTATAGACCTCCTAGGGCTTCTTATAGAGCTGCTTGCGAGGCTAGTAAGGCTCCTTATAAAGCCTTGAGCCTCTCGGAAGCTTCTCGGAAGCTTCCCGGACGTGCAAACAGAGTTGAAATCCCATTAGCCCTCCTTTAGGGCCACAGGAAACCCTCTGACCCTGAGCACCTCAATCCCAGGAGGATTCGGTTCGTATGAGGAAACCTGTCTTACTTTAAGAAGTGATTCCTCGTTTCCCAGAACCCTTCGACTATGAGATGCATCTTGGAAGATCGTTTCCGTTTGGGCCAAAACAAACCGGGTCCTTACAACCTCAAATGGGGAGTTGTCAAAACTAAAAAGGCAGATCAAAATGAAATCAACATGACACCATGAATGCTACGTCTCTTGCATGGCTCAACCCAAAGATTGCCACGCCAATCGAAACACACGACGCACTAATCTGCTAGGCACGCATGAGGCTCTTTCGGTGCAGTTTCAGGCAACGTTGCAGAGAAAGGAAGCACGATGGGCTTCATACCCGGGCACTTCCACCTATGGGCGTGGCAAAGTCTGCTGCAAGTACCCTCTCACGTCCTTGCGGGCGGCGCGCAACTGTCCGCGCACGCAGGCGCTAGAAACGTGCTTGCGCAGGCCAAAATGTGTAATGTGGCTTGTGAGCTGGCAGCTTCAGGCATGACCCCTAAAATAAAATAGTATGCATGGGCATTGCTGCTTTTGACAAGGCTATTGTGGCTTTGGGGCTGCTGTTCAAGATTTAGAGCCTTTTGTTTCTTTGGTGACTGGGGATTTAGCATGCATAGCACTGCAATGGAGCCTTTGTCAAAGTGCACATGCCAGATTCCTCACCAAAGTAAGCCATAGCATTCCCAATGTTCGCTCTGTAGCGACAGCCCCACACTAGTGCTGATGCAGCTGCTGGGTAGTGACAACTGCCACAGATGCAGTTGACTTGTCGCTCGGTGTATCTTGTTGCTGCTGCTGCTGCAGCTGGCGCTTTGCGGTCGTCAGAAGTATTGCATTTGTCGTTGTGACATGGCTACTGCTATCCATTGCAAGTAGTGAGAATACCTTTCACTTTAACATTGCGTTTCGTTGTTGAGTTGGCTTCTGTTTTGGTGTTGGTGTTGTAACCACCACCCACGTTGACAGCAACTGCCAGAAAAGCTACGTCAGCTGCAGCGCAGCAGCAATATCACAAAGTATGTTTTCCAGCTACAGAAGCAGAAACAGGCAGGCCAAACCAGCAACTACATACAACGGTACAAAGACCTCCAAACCACAGCACAAACAAGATCAGCCTCCCTTCGCGTAAGTCTCAAGGAACAAAAATACAAGATAGTTCTAGTAGTGGTAGGCTTCCTTTAAAGCCAACGGGAGACAATACAAGATATTCTTCAGCAAACGGAAGTCAGTTGTCTGCCTCCCCAAACCCAAAAAAACGCGTTCCGTCCTCATAAGGCGAGGCTGCCTCGCAAAGGCCCTGGGCCAATGCCTTGCCAGCGCTCATGCCTGACAAGCTGAAGTGGCAATGGATGGCTTCAAGCGGACTTGCCTTTGAAACTACGGAGAATAACCTCGCTTGCCAAGTGGATGGGCTAAACAAGTCGAAACGACAATAAAACATCCGCAAATGGAAGAGTTGAAGATTTCCCGTGGTTGTTCTGTAAGGTGAAGTGACATAGTGTGCAGCTATCGAAGGTCCCGTTCCTCTGCGTTCGTCTTCAGCCTTCGCTTGAGAAACTGCGAGGCCTTTTTGGTGGCCCAGTGTCTGAAGGCCCTAAACGCCAACTCAACGAGCAGATCCTTCACGTTTCCAATCCTAGTCTTGAACCAGTTGGAAAACCCTGGCAAAGTCAACCCGGTCAGAGCTACGAGGCCAGACCCGAAAAACGTTTGCATGAGCTGAGCCATTAGCAACAGACCCAAAAAGACCCCTAAACGTTTGCTGGGACATCTAGAGCGCGCGAATTGAGTGGCCCAACCTCCTTTGCTGGCGCTCCCCCTGCCTTTACAACCCTTGGTATGGTAGCGAAGAACTTTTGCTGCTTTGCAACATACGAAAAATGAACAGAACCCCAACAAAAACACCTAAGAACATGCCAGCAACAGCGAAGGTACCTTAAGACAAAAGCAGTCCCCCAAAGTAAACCCAGAACCATGGCGCCTGCGTCCAGGCACAGTCTTCGAGCCCAGAGCAGCACTTGAACCAGCGGATGAAGGCGCGGGCATCCGAACGTTGGGTGACCTTTTGGAAAATGACTGGAATAAAACCAATCTAAACCAGTGCTATCTACTCTTCACCAAATTGACCTACAAAGGACACCTATGCGAATGCTCTTACCATAAAACAAACCCAAGCAAAACCGGGTTCCTCTGCTTGCAAAGAAAAAAACAAAAGGCAAAGGCTTTGAACACACTGAGGGAGGGTGGCCAGGCAAGCAAACCCCCCCCAATTTCGTGGACGAAGGAGAGCTCGAGCTCACATGGAGCTGTCTCATGCCACCCCTGAACCACATGACCACTGTGCAGGAGCCAACCCCTCGGCCAGTGCCTGCTTCCAGCTGCTTTTTGGTAGATCTCCAGGGAATCGGATTCTGCAACATGAAATGCAAGCTTGAGCTCTGAGCAACGCAGGCCTGCCCTGCACATGACTCAACTCGGGCTGGCGAGACATGTATGTGGTTGCTTCTGCTCAGCAAATGTTTTGATGATCACTTGCGTCTTCATCGGTTTTGCCGATCCGAGCGAATGCGCGAGCAGTGACTTTCCACTACACCACCAGGCTCTGCCGGGCTCACGTATCAACTTTGGGCAGGTTCTGGCCCGATTTGCCGTCCACTGACCTTTCAAGGTCTGTCAAAGCTTCCCTACGGCCCGTGAAAAATATTGAAGAAGCTCAGCAAGGGATGTCCTGTTTGTTTTGCCAATCGCATGAGGTCCGAGTAGCCCTGTCAATCCGGAGGCTTCTCTAACAGCCTCAAAAGCTTAAGCCCAGCAGGACGCCGAAGCCAGCGTGAAGGATCATCAGCAGCACAATGGAGCTTCCTGCCGCGAAATTCTTTGAAACATGGAAATTTGGCTGCCCCTACGATTCATTGCTCCAACGGCCTCAACATTCCCCCAAACATACAGGCTGTGACCGCTCTAGGCACGTTGAACCCGCATTGAACATGCGGCCCACTGCATTTACAGAGATTTGCACCCCCAACTTCCGGCAAGTCAGTGGCAACTGACCTTTAAGTATCAGCACATTTATGGTTCAGGACCGTCCCCATGATATTTGATGTCTGCGTTTCTGCCACCTCCATGGCTGCCAAGTCTCGAACAATCGCTTAAAGTTGGAAGGGAAGAAGCTTTTGCAGCCTGCGGGTTTGCCACTTCCAAGCAACCAACTCTCTTGGCGGTTTTCCCGGATGCAGATCAACGCATACAGTAGACGGTGGCTTGCTCGAAGCAGAGCGGATCATTTTCGAGCATCCCATGCATTCGTCTGGCACGCGCAATCGCGGGTCAGCGCAATCTGGATCTTTGTTTGCGGGGAAAACAGTGAAGGCAACCCTTGATTCGATAACACCAGCCACAATGTAGCAACAACTAGAGGAAGCATGAACACCTCAACCCAAACTGGACATCGCACAGCTCTTGAGACTTCGGCCCGCACGTTGCTTCGCAACTTTGGGCACATGCAAAGCTGGGGGCAGGCGAGCGTCGCGATGTCGCCTGCAAAGCGGACGCCAAAAAGAAATCCGGCGGCCCGGAAAGGCGCAGCGGGGTGCAGATTCGGCACGCAAGAAATGCACAACATGAACTGCTTTCTGTGGATGTTGGCAGGGGTCTCAAGCTCGACTCGACTGATCGAGCCCCACTTGCCGACAGGCCGTTCTGTGTAAAACCCCGGCGTAAGCAGGACTGCTGACGGCCGGACTCCCCAAAAATCAGGCTTTCTCTGGACGCGGTGTCACAAATTATCAAACCAGGAGTTGCTACCCGCAAAAGAGAGCATTTCTGGCGTACATGTTGGTCAAGTGATCAATCCTCACCTCCAGATGGGGCAATGCGGACACTCTCAATTTGCTGAGGGTCCCAGCTACGCGTGGCATGCCTTCAGGATGCCTAATAACTGGCTGAAAAGACTGGTGGAGCTCACCTGTAGCTGAAAGACGCTGCGATGTTTCCATGGATTCTACTGGGGCTTAGAACCCCTAGCAAGGTTGGCGGACATAAACCTTAATGTAAACGATGACCACCAAAGGGTCCCGTCACGTTCATGGCGATGTCAGCGATTTCGCTCAAGCAGCGAGCTCGCAAGGGCATTCGGTCACCCTTTAAAGCTCGCAATCTGATGAGTCGCCACGGCCGGTGTAGGGCATTGTTTCCTTGACTCGGGTTGACTTTGCTGAGCGGCAGTCAACAACATGTTGCGGCCTTCCCCCGCCAAAAGTGCGCGCTGGAAAGCAGATTCAAATCTGGTGGTTGTTTATGGTCAACTTGCGATGTGCGGACATTGCCTGCGCAGCTTGCGGCCCCTTCCTACTGCCATATGATTCAAAGAAATTCAGCTAGAAGACAGTGGTTGGAATTCTTCGGCCCTCAACGCTTGAAGCCTCTCGAGTCTCAACATGCAAGTGCTGTGAAGACAAACAATTCCACGGGAGAAGGCCTCGCCAAGGAAACCCCCAGTGCCACTACAGCTATACCGTCTGCCCAAAGCTCAGGAGGCACGCATGGCAGTTTGCTTTCAGCATGCCTTTTACGCAGGCCCGAAGTGGATTGACACCACGCTTGGGACATGATGCTTGAGTGGGTGAAGGCTGGAGGCATAGAACAGGCTACCAGCAAAACAACTAGATACTCGGTGCTGTCACTCAACTCTTGTCCACATCTCTGGCCAAAAGGCGATTGGCGCTTTTTGCAGCTCAGAAAGAGAGGAAGTACATGCCGATTCAAGGGTGTCACTCAAGCGCAGACTCCTGCGGAATAAGGCGAATGTTTCCCTGTCCGCCGTCGGAGGTTGAGAAGGTGCCTTCGATATTGGTCCTCGGCGCGCTGCTTCGCGAAAAGTCACGAAAGTCCAAAAACTCAGGAAGTGAGAAGAGCTTCTCTGAAGCCCAAAAGGGTGCAAATGCATTCCAAACAACTACTGCCTACACCTTTTGGATTGAGCCCAAAGAAACATCAACTTGGAACGGTCACTTGAAAAGGGGCTTTTGCCGAAAACGTTTGCCAAAAGAGCCTCAATGCCTTTGTCACCCGTGTACGATTTTTCTTTGGCATCGTGTGTGGCCCCAAGCCTGCAAAGCAATGTGAACATGGCATCTCCAATGAAGTGGCAAAGCATGCTGCCAATGTGCAGCAAGTAACCCTGTTCTCCAGGTCACTCCCAGCTACCAACATGACAAACCGCAAGCCTGAAGGTCGAAATCGCCCAAGTGACCCGAATTTCCCCGAACCAAATCGGCCAGTTCTTCCTACGATTCTGGATCAAAACCTTGCGGGGCCCCACATCCGCAACTTGTCTTCCATCTGCTCTTTCACCCTTGGTAAGAATGAGAATCATGTCCAGTAGTGAAATCAATTCCAAGTGAAAAACAACCAAGGGAACTAAACAAATATTGCTCTATCTTTATTTCAGCAAATTAAACCCAACAAGGGAAACAAACAACCTTCCCTTCAGCACATGGACATTTGTGGGACACATTTGACTCAGAGCTTCTCCGCCACTTTTGGCGGCTTTCCGAAAGTGGCCGTCACGGTGATGGTGCCCCAGGTGTAGGTTTCCTTCCACTGCCTTGAGACAGGAAATCAGCCGAAAAAAACCGGTTGGAAACCTGGGCTGCCCGTTTTCTGATCCCCTGCTAAAAGTGACTAACTTTGAGTGGGTGAAATGGAAAACCCCACTAAACACTAAAAGGCTAAAAGCTAAGGGGATGGCTGCCTGGACGTGTGTTTAGCGATGGCTTGGAGACCCTAATTGCTCAGAGAACCTTGCAAACTAATGTCCCCTAATATCTATAAAATGGCTTCTCGGAAATCCCAAAAAGACCCCGGTGCTCAACTTAAATTAGACTATGCCAAAACCCAGACCTGGGACACAAACGAGGCCAAAACTAGGACCCACACGAGTAAACAACGTTTTGTTCTTCCCGGCCTGCAATGTTGTTCGTTGGGGGAGGGCTTTTAATTTAGCGGGGCCGGATTAAGCGGCGGATCCCTAAAATAGGAACCTTTACGGCTTCACGGTCGTGATTGAACTTGTCCAGCTCTGTAGGCTATGAGCCCAGAAACAGTGCTTCTCAACGAACGCCTTTGCCTGAATTTCAGCTACACGCATTGGAGCAGCTGAGTTGCATACTTGGGAGCTTGTACCGCCCCTGCACGGTGCAGTCAAAGGATCCAGACCCGGTGATGACGCCGTCGTCACTGAAATGCAGAATCCTTTCCTCCCTCCGTTGATGCCGCCTGCAGTGTTGGCTTAACACGCCAGCGCGCAACACGCCTCACAGTATTCAACAGCTCCGACAGGGAAGGCCCTAGCCTCTCCAGCAGCCTTTGCCCCACAGCTGCAAGTGAAATAACTTGCGGCAAGCTAGTCATGCTTTGTGCTGCTTGTGTCCTGACACAAGTCCCTGGAGCAACACGCAGGCTTTGCCTCAACCGCTTTTCATGTGTCTATTCGTATGGCCGAAAGAACATGCTCCTATGCGGGCCCGCAGCGCACACGCCTAGCTCATTCCACAGCACACATTGGGCAGTGGGGGTAACCGGGAGCCCATTGCTTCTTTGGCATTGCACTCCTTGGGCCCCATAGTGCCGCCAAGGGATCCTGCAAAGCTTGGATTTACGCACCATGCGTCAGCACCATTGTCGCAAGCCGAGGCAACAGGAGTTATGGGGCCTAAAGCTAGTTTGGTTGGATTCGGTCATCTGCCGGCAGCTTTCTTCAGAAACGGAACCTGTAAATGCACCAAAAAGCTTGCTGGTTAACATGGCCATCTTGAAGCCAATAGAAAAAACCATCTCTTTTGGTAGCTGACTGTAACATGACACCAGGACTTCAAGGAACCCCGATTTGTTCGGGTATGGCCATGCCTACTGCATCCCCAACCCCAGCTCCGTGCCAAGTATCTTCTTGCCCTCCGTGAAGTTCGCGATCCAAAGCCCGCTAGGTACGACGGGCTCAGGCCGACTTGTCTTTTCCTTCCTCAGGTTTCATGCCAATGGGCGCAGGCTGCACCACAGTCACATCTTATGTTGGCAAAGTAGCCGGCCTGTTGGACAAAGTGCGTCAGATCCGCGCGCAGAAAGAGTGTATTGCCACACAAACACACAAACACACAAACACACACCCATGCACGCACTCACGCACTCGCGCACTCACTCACGCGCGGGCAAGCACGCCGTGCAAATACACATGGAAACGCACGCGTGCAAACGCGCGCGACTACAACAACACACACACACACACAACAAAAACCAAACAAACAAAGAAGACAAAAACAAAGAAACAAAGAAACAAACAAACACATACACAAACAAACACGCTCACAGGCATACACACAAACCTATCCTGTGAGGGCTTTAAAAAAAAAACAAGAATAGGTTTGGGTGTGTGCGTGCTTCAAAACAAAATTCAGCCATTAATCGATTGGCAATTCTGAAATCCCTATATCACAAGTGGGCACACACACAAATTAACATGCACCTCACACCTAAACACAGAACACACACAAGAACACTCACACACACACACACACACACGCGCGCGCGCGCCAAACAGCACACAGAAACACAGAAACACAGAAACACAGAAACACAGAAACACAGAAACACAGAAACACAGAAACACAAGCGCACACACACACGCACAAACGCGCCGGACAAACGTGACACTGTCACAACGCAACGCGTTATAACTAGCGCAAAGCACGACGCAACACACGCACACATACACATACTTCCATCTTGAGGCTAGGATGTTAAAGAAATGGTCATCGGTCAGCTCGAGAACAGCTGGGGAAATCAGCAGGGTGTGAGCAAACAGGACA